CCTCACCAGTGAAGAAAAAAGGTTTTAATTCAAAATCGACTGTTCTTGTTGGGCCAAAATCAACGATATTTCAAATTTTCGATTTTATAAAAGACAACAGCAGTATTCTTGATTCACAAATTAACAACTAAAGCATGTGCACAAACTGTAAAAATCAAGTAGAGCATAGTACAAAGTAGGACACCGACAATTGGCCAAACAAACAATAAGGGCTCGTTTAGTAGCTTGTTAGTATTATGCATGTATTAGTTATTCCATCTTCTACTTCGCAATAAGATAATACACCAATTCCATCATATATACATCTATTAGTTATGCGGGTTGCTAACTTGCAAACCAAACGTCGTATTAATTCTATAAATGAATAACTTTTTTCCTAACTAGCTACCAAACATTGCATAACTTTTACATAAATTAATACATGAATAAGTTGCTTCTTTACTGCATACCAAACGACCCTAAGAAGACATGTTTATATCTGTTAATCTGGAAGCATTTAACTTCATGAGGGAGCAAACATGTGAAGGCTAGTAAAAGAGTGTATTTCAGTTTCAAGGAATTACCATTTTCTGAGCATAATTTATCTGCCACTTCAGGCCCCTCATACAAGAGAGCTTTATCCAACACCTCCAATTTCCATGGAGAAAAATGTCTTTTTCTGCTTTCAAACTCATGAAGCTTATGGACTCCATACTTCGAACCAGCACTATAACAAGTTTGCCGGTATCCAATAGCTTCGACCGGATAGAAGTTTGAAGGAAGAGAAAGACAAGGCAGAACAACAGCAATACCGTCCTTTGTGACCAAATACAAACAACCCTGAAAACTACAACCTATAGCTTCGTCCACTATGGCATCCCAACCTTGGATGTTATAGCTGCTGTCATCATTTACTGTCATGTTCACATTTAAACTGGAATGAACAAGTCGACACTTCCCATTTTCCCCAGAACACTTTCCCTTCACTAACCGAGTGATCCCAAAAGGAGAAAAACAAACAACGCCATCTTCTTTAGATCCATCTGTAGCAAGGAAAACTTTTCTACGATGGCATGACCATAATCTACTACCAAAAATCCTGCTCTTATTTACATCAAGAGCATCAGATAGGCCACTTCCATATGAGCCATACTTCCTTTCCTCGTGTGTATTATCAACAAAAGAAGACTCTCTAATAATGGATGATTTTCTTTGTTCCTTCCCACCGAAAAAATTGGAAAAGACCCTTTGATAGGCAATTTCAGCGGCACCTGCCGCCCAAGCAACCAACATTCCATCACTCAATTGTTGAGGGTGTAATTTCTCAAGTGAACAATACTTCTGTGGAATATGGTCATCCACATGTATTACATATGTTAAACCATATTCATCGATCACACAAAATGTCAAAGAATAGGAAATAACAAGAAGCCGTTTGAACCTTCTTCTACCGACAAAATCTCCCGCTTGATTGATGAGCTGACCACATTTCTTCTCTTCAATACAACTTTCTCTGATCTTTGAAGATGAATATTTTTGTTCTTGAGATACTAAGGAAGGAGAAACTCCACAAATATTTAATAGATCTAAAGATGCTATATGTTCGCCGGTTAATGTAATGTAAATGGAGACAAAGCCAGAAACATTAAGAGAAATAAGAAAAGCATGAGAAAATTTGAACTCTGGCCACTCAATTGATGGCCTGCCCTCGAGGCATTTTCCCACTGTCACCGAGCAAACCCACTGCATTCCCCAATTAATTAACCTGGCCACTGCAACTAAAACTTTACAGCCTGTTCCATCATCTATATTTGTGCTTTCAGTTTGAACATCTTTCTTTGTATTTAAGGCAAACCCAACTAAGCATTGTGCATCATTAGAGAACACTCTGAAACATTTGTAAGAACTGCTCAGCTGACCAACTAGAGCATCAGGAGATATCTGTATGGAATCTGTAGATATACCGACTGCATGATCTTCAGCGGAGATATTACTATTCTGTTTGTCATGTGATATAGGATAACCATCAGATAGAAATTCCAATAGCAGTGGACAACTGAGAAAATTATTAAATGAGACAACTGAAGCAGATGAAGGAACTGACGATTTATCTGGGAACTTTGTATACACTGTTCCATCAGACTTCATTGTTTCAACTTTAGTCAAATAAGTATGCAACCATCTCTTCACTCCAAAATTCTCAGATGATACCTCCTTTTGACCCTCCATAGAACTATTCGCTCTTCCCCCAGTTACACTAGACCAACTCATATCACTGACATCCAGGGAGTCATTGGACTGCATGGTGGAGTCACACACAGTTCCCGATAGTTGAGCTGAGGCTGTTGAAGGACCCCACTCCACCCATAACCCTTGACCTACATCAACTTGTCCTGTGGGTGTTATGAGCTCACTCATCATATAGGATTGGCAAAAAGCATGGACAGTTACCCCCTCACTGCCTAACACAAAAAGCAGTTCTTTGAAAGGAACATTGTCATGCTGACTACATAAATCTTCACACCTACCCCAAGCCACTGTGCTTACATCAGAAATAGAAGGGAAAGAGATAGGTCCAGTAAAATCAACAGCCTCTGTTTTTATGTTACATGTCTCTGCCTCAATGGACTGTGAAGTGCTCTCACAATCATCCCCCAACTCTGTTTTATCAGGAAACATGCGCTCCAGTGAGCAGGGAAAAGAAGCATCATGATTCTGGAGATTTTTATAGCTTTGTGGATCCTTAATACTTTTACCTGCAAAGAACAGGAATCTATTAGAGGTGAATATACAATCTACATTGCTGAAGTGACAGGTAAGTTAATTATATTCACATTTACCCAATGGAAGAAGCAAAGCTTCACGATGATATGAAAGTAGCAACAATAACTCCCGTCTCGGAGAAATAAAACCTTCACAAAAGTCTGACAGGTTGAATTGGACTCGCGAGGACCCCCAATTCTGCAGCTGCAGTATTGCAGGATCTTCACCACCATTGGCAAAATCCATGCCAGCCTATGCAAATGGATAACAAAAATAAGCAGAAGCTGAAAAAAATGATAGCCATTGACGTATAGGGAGTTTGAAGTAACAAATTCATCAAAAGAACACGATAATATGTTCAAACGCCCCTGAAAATTGTTAAAAGGCCGAAGACATGATTGACATTCTTTAGTCATTTTTAAAATCTGTAATGGTTCCGTTGATGTTCTATCCTCTCCATTTTCTTTTTGTTGTCATACACCAATAATACTCATAACATTATCAATCAAAAAAGGCCCATGAAAAGTTAGGATCAATTACATGATAGAAGATGCTTTTCCAGTTAGCAGTTATCACACAAGGTCATAATGAGAATTCAATTAGGAAAGGTAATAGGTCAAGTAAGAGAAACGGTATCACTATTCCTTAAGGAGAGACGTACAAAAGCTTCCACAATGGACACTCACCCTCCCTGCTTTCTCCTGTGTCCTTTATGGGCAACAAAATGGCTATAATTGAAATAAGCCTAACCAAAGAAGCCCCTTCTTTTCCTAGTGCTAATGTTGACTTATTTTATGACCAAAAAAATGTGGAATGTGATCTACAAATATACTTACAAGAAAGTGGATCAATTTTCACCACTACCCGACACAAAATTCATGTATTGTGATTAAGGAGCACATAGTCAGATGACTGCACAATGAACATCATCCCGTACATTCTCATCTAGCCTTATGGGGCACATCAACATCGCAATAATAAAATTGAAAACACTTTCAAGCGTACTCTAAAGCACTACTTTTTCCTGACCCTCAGGCGGGCTTGTTTTCGGACATGTTCACAGGTGAAAAGTGATGATAGGGGAGCTGCATCAAGAACTGACAGGTCTCTATTTTTTTTCAAATAGGTAACTTTGTATTATATCACAAAACAGTACATGGGTATATATATTCAAATGTCTACTTTTCCACTGTTTTCAGTCTATATTGAGTCTAGAAACATCAATTACTGATAGAGTGTCATTGGAGTATAATTGATTACACCAAAAACATAACAATAAGATGCACTTAAACTTGATTTTCTGGACATCATTCTCTATGCTCTCAAAACACCTAGAATTCCTTTCTTTCCAAATAGTCCACCATATACTAGCAGGGATGATTCTCCATTTGTTCATGTCCTTTGCATTCACCCATGCTGCTTCCAAGCTCTTCAAAGCCTCTGAGACCTTACTAGGCATGGTCCAGGAGATGCCTTTGAGGTTCAAAAAAATCATCCATAGTTGTAAGGTATACTTGCAGTGTATGTACAGATGGCTTCCTGTCTCTAATGCCTCCCCACAAAGGAAACAACTAGAGTATGAGGTTATCCCTCATTTCTTCAAGTTATCTCGAGTCGGAGCAGCTTCTTTAGCCAATAATCATATGAAGCATGAGATTTTATGAGGAATTCTACTTCTCCATATTTGTTTCCATGGCCAACGGTATGTTTGTGGGTTTGTCTGATCCATCAACTTGTAGGTTGAGTTAACTTTGAACTCCTTTCTGCTATTTCCCTTCCACCACAAAACATTTTCCTGTTCGCAGCCCATTAAAAGATTCCAGAGTGTTGAGAAATTCCGCAACTCTTGCTATTTCCCAGTCTTTAAATTGTCTTCTGAAATTAAAGCTCCTCTCCTGATTTGTCCATAACTCTGCTATAGTGCTTTTCTGTCCCAGAACTATAATGTATATGTCAGGGAAAAGTACTTCTAGGTTTCCCTTTTCATGCCACTCATCTACAACTTTGATCTTTGCATTACTCTAAACTTCATCCAACATGTCTTTTATTGATCTCTACAAACTCACTCCATAAGGTGTAGTCACTTCTTAGGTCATACATATATCTTCACCTTCATACTTTGCATTTATTACCCTTTTCCATAGCATTTGATTTTCATTGGCAAACTTCCACAACCATTTCATTCTTAGAGCTATACTCTGCACCTTCAGGTTCTTTATTCCCATACCACCTACCTTCTTGCCAGTTATCACTACTTATCACTTCACCAAATGGAAGCCTTTTCTCTCCTTGTTGCCATGCCATACAAATTTTCTCCATATACAGTCCAATCTCTTTATGACTCCTGCTGGCATTGGGAACAAGGTCATCATGTAAGTTGGCAAGGCATCTAGGACTGAATTGATGAGACTCCATCTGCCTCCAAAGGACATATTGAGTTCTCCATTAGCCAATTTCATTTCACACTTCTCCAGCACACCATTCCATATCTCAGCAGAGTTGAATTTTCCACCTAGAAGCATTTTCAAGTAAGTTGTTCCCAGAGTGTCAATTACCCCACTAAGGATTGCTGCTAGGCAAATCATATTCGTGACTGTATTGATTGGATACACTAATCTCTTCCTCCCATTGATATGTAGTCCAGTCATTCCTTCAAACAGAATTAGTGTAACCCTCACATATTTTAGTTGTTGTTCCTCATCATCACAAAAAATTAGGGTATCATCTGCACATTGTAGGTGTGTCACCTCCAAACTGTCGCCACCCTCTCTGGCAACATCAAAACCTTTCAACCAGGCTCTGTTGTTTGTTGTTTCGATCATATTATTCAGCCCCTCCATAGTGATTAAAAACAAAAAAGGTGACAAAAGGGTCACCTTGCCTGAAACCTCTCTGAGTATTGAAAAATCCTGTAGGGGCTCCTTTATTAAGCACGCAAAATTTGACAGTTGAAATACAATACTTTATCCATCTCAACCATTTATGTCTGAAGCCCATTCTTTCCAACATCTCCGGTAGATACCTCCCATTGACATGATCATATGCTTTCTCTATGTCCAGCTTGCATATTATACCAAGTGTCTTCCGTTTGATTCCGGAATCTATAGCTTCATTAGCAATCAACACAGCATCCATGATCTGTCTACCTTCAATAAATGGCATCTGTTGAGAATCAACCAATTGCCCTATCACTCCTTTCAGCCTCTCGGTCAGTACTTTGGAGAGTAGTACATACATGCTACCTATCAGGCTTATAGGTCTGAAATCTCTTGGCTAATTTGCTCCTTTCTTCTTTGGTATGAGGCAATGAATGTTGCGTTAAAGATTTTCTCAAAACTTCTTGATCTGACAGGTCTCTTTATTTGAATGAACATAATGATGGATCCAGCATTATCAAACCATCCGTCCTGCCTCAAATACTCTCAGATCATCCTACTGAATTGGTATGTAGGCAGTAGGACAAAAGGGGATCTTATTTCAAAGAAGGAAATTGTGGGTTTCACGGATATTGTCAAAGGATGGCAGGAAGTCAATGGGAGTCCTGATTATGCTTTGGCCACAAAAGCTTAAATGTAGAAGCAAAAGCACCAGAATGGAATGTGAACAATTCGGTAACATAGAAAGAAAAAAAAAGTGATTTCCTGGAAAGCTAAGAATGTAGGAAATTCAATAGAGTGCAGAAATATTAAACGGAACAAAAAATGACAGAGAAGGCTCCAACCCTGATGAAATTGCAAAAAGACAAAATGGAGAAGATATCCTGGTGACAAAAGTTGAGAAGTAAATGACTAAAGCACTTCGCAGGTTTTCCAACCTCACACAAGAGATACAGCCAGATTGACAAGTTAAAGGTTGCAAGGGAAATTATTAAGGATAATCAAGACAAAATTATAGTTGAAATTCTCAAGTCTTACCAATAACTTTACAGTGAACAGAAAGCTGTGGGCCTTCTATCAAGGTAATGTCTCCAAAAATCAAAAGAGGAAAAGACATGGTTGCAAATAGCTTTTAATATGATAAGTTGAGAAGAGGAATTGTTATGGATAAGATGGTTTTAATATGGTTTTTCTTATGAAGTAAGATATATCATTATTAGGCACCAAAAAGATGCAAATAATAACAACAGCACAAAATAATATTAGCTCCAGCATAACATTGTTTTAATAAGGCTTTTATAGAAAACCGTTGCCAAGAGTAAAACTAGAAGTTAAGAAAGTAATTTGGGTGTTTTCATTATTATGTCAGATTTGGAAAAAAGATTACATGCAGGACGTATTGGATTGATCCTTAAGAGAATATCCTTTTGACAAAAGAGACTACAAGCCTATCAGCTTAGTTAGGTGCTTTTATTCTAAGCTTTTCACCAAAAGGTCAAAGGTTGTGATCACCAAATTGGTAGAAGAAATACACAAGATCACATGGCATTTGTAAAGGGCAAACAGATAGTGGTATATCCTGATTGCACCGAATGTATAAATGCTAGAAGGAGTCAAAGCAGTCCTGTTTTAAATGTGTAAGCTTGATATAAGAAAGTGTCCGACCATGGTAAAATGTTAATAGGTCATTTCTACTAAACTTGTTGAAAACATCTTGGTGAAAGATGATTAGATGGGTGCATTTATGTAGTTTTACTTAGAATTTTTCTGTTATTACCAATGGGCAACCAGAGGGCATCTTCCTAGCCCATAAAGGTCTTAAACAGGGAGACCTTATCTATTCTTTCATAATTATACTAGTTATGAAACCCTTAGCTGGGATGTATATAAGGCTGCCTCTTATAACTGGATCAAGCGCTTTTCGGGAATGACACATTCATAATGTGTGATCCTGAGGCGACTCCATTGAGATAGTTAAAGACTACCTCGTGTTCCTGTAAATATACAAGATCGGGTGTCGTTCGTAGAAAATCACATCATTTTGTTTAGTATTTTCCATAGCTTCTTTCACCTAATAGTTAATTTTTTTGGGTAGTAACTGCGAACTACTACCATTACTCCAACATGAAAACTTCAAATTTACAACCTAAAGAGCACCTCTTGTCCCAACCACCACCAAGAAGAGGTCTAGGACTATCCCAGTCTCAAGTAAAACTATTCCAGGAAAATAAAAAATAAGCTCGTACCAAATACAAACAAATTCATTCTTTTGATCTAAACTGTTTACTCTCTAGTTAGTCTTCTCAGCAGAATCTAACAGGCCACTGCACTCAAGGGGTGCCTGGAGAATGGCTATTTGAGCTCTCACTTCTTTCTGTACATTTGCAAAACTCGTACTCACATCTATGCTCAGAAAATCTTCCAATTTCTGGCTTTTCATGTGTGATAAATCATTGCCCCCCATATTGCCACCAAAACCTTTTTTTTTGTATTTGCTTCCATTTCTTTTGTTTAAGCCATTTCAGACTTTGTAGGACATCCTTTTGAATCATTTGGACCTCTGTCAAGTTTGCCAGCCCATGTCGAACTGCAATAATCCATTCACACTCGGAGAATAGGTGTGGAGGAGTTTCACCTTGAGTTGAGGGTCTATGAGAAACACCTTCTTTACCGCAGAAGGCAGTGGTAAGGTTTGCATACATTCTACCCTCCCCAAACCCCAATTGTCATACATTGGATATGTTGTTGTTGTTTATACTTTTGGGTCGTTTGGATCAGAATAAAGTTATTCAGGAATTACAAATTATTTATGTTATGATTTATAATGAAGAAATTGGTATATGGTGATTAATACTAATGAAAATTTTATACACCAATTAATTACTCTATATTCTATAATAATATTTGTCTTTAGATAATTTAGCATATGCATTACTATTACACATATTCTTATTTCGTATTCCTTTTCTTTTTTTTTATGACAAGGGAAACCCGCAGCCGCTACCCTTTGGGTGTGCACAATTCTTATTTTGTATTCTTAACATGAATATAATGAAGAAATTGGTAGACGATGATTAATACTTAAGAAAAAATTATGCATCAATTAATTACTCTACAATAATATTTATCTTTAGATAATTTAGTATCTACATTACTATTACTGTATCACACATATTCTTATTTCGTATTCTTATTTCATATTCTATCATATTATAAATTCCCACATAATTAAATGCAGTATTATTTAGTATCGCCAACCAAACACTATATTATCTTAAGAGGAACTTTATATTGAGATCAATTATTCATATACTTCAACCAAACACTCAATAATCTTATGCGAGATTTATACTGGGATTAATTCTTTTTATACTCACCAAACGACCATACGATTGTGATACCCTTTTGTTGTTTGATCAATTAATAAGAATCTATTAAAAATGGATGAAAAAACACTTGTATACAAAAGTATGCCAAAAAGTAGAAAAATCTTACCAAAAGATACTCCCTCCGCCTCAATTTATGTGGCACATTTTCCTTGAAACAACTTAAATTCTCTTTTACCCTCAAAAGAAATAATTTATAGTCACACAAATGTTTAGATTTGTTTTAGCCCACAAATTTCAAGTATTCGTTTCTTTCTTAACTTTGTGCTTAGTCAAGCAATGTCATATAAATTGGGACGAAGTGAGTATGGTTTTCTACAACTTATGTTGTGTTAAGATATTATTCCCTCCCTCAAATTTCATGAAGGTGTTTGACTGAGCACGACGCTTACGAAAAAAAGACTTTTGAAGCTTGTGGTTTAAAACAAGTCATAGATATTTTATGTGGTTGTAAGTCATCTTATTGAAGGTAAAATGGAGAGTTTAAAGTTACATTGCTACTAAATATAGGAAGGTGTCCTTTTTGGGACAGATTAAAAAGGAAAAAACGTCACATAAATTGGAATAGAGCGAGCACAATTTTGCAACATATTTTACCGATATCGAGGAATAGAATTAGGAATAGCATGTAGAATCATACTTGAAAAAGAATTGTAATATAATGTCTATAAATAGGATTCCAGTGTAATAATGTAGATGTATAATTTAATAATATTTTTCTCTTTTCTTTCTCACATGGTATCAAAGCATTGGTAAGAATCTAGTGAAAGAAAATTAGGTAAAAAGTGCGTCAAATTCCAACAACTTTCAACAGTTGTTTAGTGTCAACCCCGTTTTTCATAGGTGCTGAGTGAAAATCAACACCACCACATGGTCCCCCAACCTCTCGCGACCATAACCCACAAAATTCTACTAACAAAAACCTTTCACACATTGTCAGAAGCAGCCTTTCTAGCAAGATCTACACCATGTATCGGTGTGTGAGCCTCTTTAGAACCACTTTTTTGAGATATTTTGTTCTCCAATCAGGGCACCTGCCAAGTCCAACCCTAACCATATATTTTTCAACCCTAACCATATATTTTTCTTCAAGTTTTGGCGAGGAAACTATTCCAACGACTTCAACAATGTTTTCAGGTTTTTTTGGGGCAGATTTTTTTCCAGTAGGGTCTCGTCATCATTCTAACCCTACCCATATAAAAGAAAATCCTAGAATTGACCACTTTCCAGAGTTCAGATTTGATTTTCTGGCACATAAACAAGTTTTTTCAGATTTCAACAACAATTTATATTTTTTCAGTCATTAGGCAACAAAATTTTGATTTCACAAGGGTCTATCAGGAGTGGATATTTTAGGTTCCTTAATTACAAAAATTATAAATTCAAACACTATGAATACTTCAAAACCATTTAGGGGAAGCTCAAACTATAACTATTAAGCTTGGGCTATCTTGATTGAGTTGTGATATGGGGGTCAAGGTGTCCAAGATCAATGCATGTGTGGTAGATGAAAAGGCAAAGACTAGTGAGGAAGATGCAAAAGTCAAAGCACAATCGGAGAAGGTTGCTGCTCAATTACAGTCTCCTATGACAATTTATTGATTCCAAGTTGATGCCCTTGTTTCGCCCATTCCCAAAACATGTTATTTAATTTGGAAAAAGGCTCTTGCTTTTTACATTAATGACATATCTAGTTTCCATGATGTGATATCTCAAATTATTATCAATTTAAAGAAACAAGAATTGATATGTCTACTTACTAGGGATAGGTATAAGCAGTCATGGAGGAATTTGTAGCGTTGATGCTAGTCGATATGGACGAGGAGAAACAACAAAAGCATAGACAAACTTTGCTTCTAATTCTTACACTTGTTGGACATTCTACTCACCATGATTCAATGCGTGACCAGATTTTAGTTGATCCTACAGTTCCTACAATTAATGAATTATTATCTCATATACTTGGCCTTGTCAC